TTTGATGTTAAGTTTTAATATTAATTTTAAGGATAAGCTTTTGTATTTAGATTTATTTTTATCACGAATAATATCTATTATTTGATGTGAAGTTTTAATATTAATTTTAAGGATAAGCTTTTGTATTTAAATTTATTTTTATCACTAATAATATCTATTATTTGATGTTAAGTTTTAATATTAATTTTAAGGATAAGCTTTTGTATTTAAATTTATTTTTATCCCTTATTTGTTTCATGTTAGATTTAAGATTCTAATTTTGTAAATTAATGCGCGCTCATGTATTATAAAATACTGAATTGTCTTAAAAATACAACCTCATTTCTTAGTTAAATAAATAAATAAAATAGTTAAATAAATTTCAAAAATAGTAGCAGGAAAACAACCGATTTTAGAAAATTAAAAAAGTATGCAGAAACGATTCCTTCACGCAAGCCTACATACCTTATTTCAAATGGCAAACTCGAAAGCTTCGATTAAATGTTGGCTTACCCAACAGATATGTATTTACAAAATTTAGTAAAATCAATATATGTAGTTTAATAAAGTTGCTTGAGCTAAATCCTCGTTGCTCAAAATGTAATCTCGCATTACATATAAATATATGTATGTAGGTCCACTAAATCTTTCTTTACTCTTAAAACTGCATAGATACATTTGTATCTTACTAAATTCGCCCGCCACATAAACACTTGACTGCTAGTCCACTTACCATTTGCGCCACACAGAAGCAATGCCGGAAATTGTGAAATGGCACCTCGTTGTAATGCTTGTAGACCTCATACAGCCATTCGCGCAACGTCTCAATCGGTATATTGAATTTATCTATGAAGCCCAATTCGAGGAACATCGTTTGCATTAGATGTATAACATCGGCATCGCCCCACTCGTACGAATCGAAGGCGGGCAAACGGAGTGCAGCTTTCACCTCATCCGAGAAGTTGGTATCACAAATTTCCAGGAAACGCTTTTTCACCTCCTGATGCTTTGGTAGACTACTTTTGCGATGTGGCGGACCCAAAGGTCGCTTGGAGAGACCTGCAAATGGGTAAAAAAAAGAGATAAGTTTGCATAAGTAAATGTTAAGTAAAAAGAAGTATAATTCCAGCGCTGCGCCTGGCTGCCTGATTAATAGCACAGGCAGGCAGATTAGCTTTGATGGTTGCAGCAAACGCTGAATATTTCGATGCAAATTTATAGCAAAAAAAGCAGGGAAAAAAGGCATTCAGGTGAGGACATCGAAAAAAGCTGCCGCCGCTATCGGTGCCGATGACAAAGTACCGTCAACACCGGAAGCACCATATGCCGCTATTAGTGGTGACAGCATGGCCGGAAATTTAATTTAAATGTGCATTATGCATAGCGGAGCTGGAGTTATGTGAGGTAAGGACAAAAAGCGTAGCTTTATTAAATGCACACTCGTCGCTGGCAGCAGTGTGAAGGTGGCACAAAAGTTGGAATAAACAAAAAGGCGCCAAAGGAAGCACTGCAGTGGACAGTCGAGACACTTTTTTGCTTGTTTGACGCTGTTGCGCTGATCGACGTATTCACTGCAGCCATCAAAAGTTAGCCAAGCGTGAATGCGGACTAACAGAGCGTAAATCTGCAATTTAAAGAGATGTTACGCAGATCAGACAGACGGAAACTACAACATTTCGAATGTGTCAGAGATTGAAATATTGAATGCGTCGGAATTTTTACCGATGTTTTTATTGTTATCTATGTCACTATCGATTTTTTATCGATATTATTATTGTTATCGGCGAAATTTTAAGTATTGCCATTGCGTCAAAGATGGAATTATGGTATTTAATTTGTTTTCGAAACGTTTATCGATGTAGGTGTGGTTATAAACCAACGATTTGTTATCGTTATCGGCTAAATGCTTACTGGCCACTATCGAGTTTTTATCGATAGCGATATTGTTATCGTTGCAATTGTTCAGTATATGGCAGAGATCTAGTTATGTAGTTAAGTATCAATCACCGCCGTTATCGACATTTTTTGTCGAAAATAATATGGTTATCGATATCACTATCGATTTTTTATCTATATTCTGTTTGTTTTTGGTATGATTGTCAGTATTACGAATGCAGCTAAAATTGGTTTATGCATTCAAACATCCTATTATATATAGCCATCGAATTTATTACCGATATCGAAGTAATTATGGCTGACGCTAACGCCTTTTTATTGATATCCTGATTGTTATAGGCAAAAATTCTTAGTATTTTGAATGCGGGAGAGGCTGAATTGCGTACAAATTAGAATTCATCAGAATCCTTATCGATAACATTAACGTTTTTTTATCGATGTCTTTGTTTTCGTCGATACAATTCTTAGTATATCGAATGCGGCCCAGATGTATTTAAGCAATTAACAATTTGTATATATGTCAAAGTTGTTATCGATACTAATAACGTTATCGATATCATTGTCGACTTTATTTCGATATCCGTTTTGTTATAGGTATAATTGTCTAACTTCAGGATGCAGCAGAGATTAAATTAAGCACTCGAGTAATTATCCATACATTTTTCGAAAGTACTATCGATGTCGTTATTGTTACCGACCACACCAGAGATTTTTTTGTTATCGATATCATTATTTTATCAGTATGATTCTTTGAATAAACAACTTTTTAAAATATTTGTTGTTGTTATTATCGATATTGGTATCTATTATAAATATATTTATCGATGGTGATATTTTTATAACAAAAAAAGTTTATTATTTTGCTAAACGCAAAACAGAATATGTTATACATATATGTATGTATTTAATTAATTATAGTAAGCGTTATCGGTTTTTTAACGATATTTTTATTTATTTTTTTTAACGGGAGCATTTTAGGGATTTCGAAAGTATCCGGGTTTTATTAATGAATTTAAGTGTTACTACTATAGTTATCAAAATTTTTATCAAAATCGTTGTTCTCTTTTGATATTCTAATAAATTTTTCAACCTAAGCAGTTATAATTTTCTGCATTTTCTGTTTTAACGGTACTAGTATCGCTATAAATATTATTTTGGTATTCACTTTTGGGTTTATTTCGGTAAAAAGAAATCGATAAAGGATATTGTTGCCATAATTTTTGTCGTCGATGTAATCGTTGTCGATCTCCTGGTTATTTTCCTCAATACTAGCTAGCATACTGTAAGTCTTGGCCAGACACCTACACTCTCTTCACTTTGATCTCGGTTTATTCTGCTTTTGTCTTTCCATCCCACATTTCTAATTTCATAACAAAAAATCCATAACTAAGTAAATCACCTTCGCTCTGTTGGTGTTGCTTAAGCGGCTTACAAAGCTTTTAGTTCTTCAATTAGCAACAATAAGTATAATCCTTAAAATCTACTACATACACACAAAGCAACCAGTAACACTCACTCACACACACTCAGGCTTACAAGTATTCAGCTAACATCCATTAGCAGTCAAGTAGTCCCACACGCTTGAGTTTTTTTTCTTTTTTTTTTTTGTATTTACTCACAAATTTACTTATAAAACTTGCATTATTTAGTTTTCCATTTTTTTTGCGCTTACAATCAGCTCAAGTTTTTTACTCTTCTACAACTTAAGTATATTTTCATAATAAATTAGCATACATGCTGGCGCCACAATATGTACAGTGCAGGAAAGCATTTAAAATTAAAAAATGTAGCAAAGTGGAAGAAAGGTTGAGCAAAATGCACGACAAAAAAGTTGATCGGTTGCAAAATTTTTAAACAGGAAGCACTAACTTTATAATTAAGTTGGCTAATTAGAGCATAACTTCGTTCTGCTACAGACATCTGCAGAAGATGATTTGAATGACGCAAGTTTGGCGCAGGGACAAGGCTATCGAATGCAGAGATTCTTAGAACTTTGAAGTGGTTTGGTTTTTTTCCTAGAAATTATTACGTTGTCTATGTTGAAAACCTCATTAGTCTTTTTAAATTCGATGATTTTCTAGCTATAAATCAAACTTTAATACCCAGTTTCACGAAAGCAATTTAAAAGAAAAAAAAATTTGAGAAATTTTAAATATTTCTTTTTAAATTATCGATATTATTATTATCGATAAAAAATATTTCTCGATATGTTTATTGCTATCAATTTTGATGCATTCATTGTACTGGTGTAACTATTTAACATAAAAACATTAATCGACAATTTAATTTGGAAACTTATCGATACATTTTTTGTTTAAATAATCGAAATATTAAGTGATATTTTCAATGCTTTTTAAATAGTATAGAAAAACCTTGAAAATTTTTAAATATTTACTTGTTTGTTTACCGAAATAGTTATCGAAAAACTTTCTTTTTTTTATTTAAAAGATAAACCATCAAGAGATAAAGCCATCTTCAGTTTCATTTTTCGTTCGTTCGAGATGGCACAACGCCGAGACCGGTTTGTCTGCAAACCTAACTTGACAAGGGATGACGGAAATTCGTTTCAAAATAAATCATCTTACCACCCTGTCGGAAAAATCGACCAACACCAACACACAGATAAACATTTATTCAGACAGTTATTACTAAATTTTTATTGATATATTTATAATAATTATTTATCTACACTGTTAACCATATACATATCGATAAATTTAGTGGTATCGGTATATCGATATATTAGCATATGCTCTTTTAGCAAAACCAAGGATACAAAAAATTCCTTCGTGATATTTTTAGTTTTATAATTTTTGCTGTATTTTTTTTCTATACTCTTTATTTTCGTAAAGATTCCATTTTGTTAACGTGTAGACTCGGCTCCCAATTACAGGCTGTTAGACAATTTATATTCGTATTTTCGTACCACCTTCTTCCACAGTGAGCATTCGCATCACCTAATTCAGCACTTTTGCTCATTTACATACATATATGAATGGTTCGATACCGAAAAAAAAAATTTAATGAACATACAAATGCAATAGAGTCTACTTATTAAGCATATGAAAATTTTTGATTATTCAAAAAAATAAAAATATAAAAAACATAGCAAATACGCTTTACGGTTTTCGGCAGTTAGCTCAACTGTGCAAGTCAATGAGATTTTTTATTTTTCCAACCGCGACTTCATAGCTTAAAGCTGATATCCATATGTCTAATGAAAATGGGAAGTTCGCGTGGTTTCAGTGGTTCAAAACAACTAGTGTTCGCCCAGCGGTTGAAATTCTAGGAGTTTAGGTGATCTAAGAGGAGTGGATTTGAAGTGGGCTGTGGTAAGTTGAGGCGAGATACGTTGAGCAACATGTGTTAGATAAGATAGTATAATATAACATAACATAACATAACATAACATAACATTAATAGCATAAAATAACATAAAATAACATAACATAACATAAAGAAACATAACATAACATAACAAAACAGCTTATCTCATTCTTCAATTGAATATTTTTTTTGTCTCTATCATTATCTCTATCACTTCCTCTATCTTTGTCTTCAACGTTTTTTATCTTCATGTCTTTCATTTATCTTTAAATTTGTATCCTTATCTCTTCCTTTACCTTTATCCCAATTAATATTTTCTTTTTTTCCTTGGTCTACATATGCACCCCACCTTTATCATTACATTAGGTATTTAAATTTACTTTCCTCTTTGTATTTACCTTTAGGTTTCTATACTTTTATTTTGATATTTGCCTTTATCCCATTCCTCTACTACATACAAGAAATGCCAAATCGAATTAAAAAAAATCGATTTTTCAGTAGATTCGAATCGAAATAAAAATAATCGATGCTGGAAGAAATTGGCAAAAAATAAATCGACAAAAAAACTAAGCACGCCGATCTGACCAAACTATTATTGTAATTTTTAAAGAATACATACATTTTTCATAAAGGTTTCAATATCCAGATTTATTCAAAAGCTATCAAGTAGCTTTAAATTCGTAAAAACTTTGAAAAAAGAAATTACAAAAAATTTATGCCCATGTATTTAATGGTAAAAACGTTTTTTTTCACTTATTTGCAGCATTTTGAAAAAACTTTACATTTGCCATCCGGAGTTGCGATAGGCCGCTCATACAATTTTGTTCGCAAAGTTG